GTAACTTGAGGAATGATTTTAGATCAATGGGATTTGTTTACCTAAACCAACTTTACATTACAGGCTGATAGATGCATCTATCAATCATTCATTTAATTAGTTAATCTTTAGTAAGATCATATATCCTTATAAGCTGCAATATCTAATTGGGAGGAATAATAGAGGTAGAGATGTTGAGTTAAAGGAACAATGAAAACCAAATAGAGGATTCAGGATTCACTTGGAATTTACAAATAGTCCAAAATGCAAAGGCATGCACAGTGTTGAGTTTCCATGTGTTCTTCCATAGGACACCCCAACTGTGCAGGCTGCACAGAATCACAGTTTCTTTCCAGGTGCAACTAAATTCACCTTTCAAAGCCTCCATTAAACAGAACTAGGGCATCTGCATATAATAATTGGCATGCAAACGGTCTGTTCCCTTAAAGGATTCCCACTTTATGCATCATCAGAAGCCTTCCTTTTCTGCTGCAGTTCCTGCCTTATAGGATCCATTTCCCCTTGAAATTGAATAGGTCCCCATCCTCTTAAACCTCTGAACACATGCTACTTCTCCCAACTATTTGAGATAAAATAAAGTCAGTGCAGGATACGAATCTGGTGGATTACTTCAGAAAAGGGAGGATGCAGCACCAGATAGATTTTCTTTTGAATTTATATTGTTCTTGTTCTTTTTATAGTTGTATGTATTGGGTATTTTTTTTTGGCTCTTGTTGTGTAAGTATATTCCATTTACTGAGGCTTTTCTGTTCTCTTTATATCACATCTTATCCAAAGTTTTTCTTGAAATTTGAAAGACTGTAAAAGAAATATTACTTTCTTTTCTCAGATACCACAAAATGTAACAACTGCCCAGATGATCAATATCCAACCAAGAACCGAATCCAGTGTATCTCTAAAAGAATAACCTTCCTTTCCTATGAAGAACATCTCAGCATCATCCTCATCTCCTTTGCTCTTCTCTTGTTCCTAATCACAGGCTTTGTTTTATTCATATTTATTAAATACCTTGAAACTCCTATTGTCAAAGCCAACAACCGGGACCTCTCCTACATCCTCCTGGTCTCCCTTCTGCTTTGCTTCTTATCCTCCTTTTTCTTCATTGGCCGACCAAGGAAAGCCACCTGCCTTCTCCGACAAACAGTGTTCAGCATTGTCTTCTCAGTAGCTGTTTCGTCTGTGTTGGCCAAAACGATCACAGTAGTGCTGGCATTCCTAGCCTCAAAGCCAGGCAATAAAGTGAAAAGATGGTTGGGGAAGAGCTTGGCCAACTCCATCATCCTTTCTTGTTCTGCTGTCCAGATTCTCATCTGTGCCATGTGGTTGGGAGCTTCTCCCCCATTTCCTGACTCTGATCTGCACTCCCAGCCTGGAGAGATTATCCTTCAATGCAACGAAGGCTCTGTCATCATGTTTTATATTGTCCTTGGCTACATGGGCTTCCTTGCTGCAATTTGCTTCACTGTGGCTTTCCTGGCCAGGAATCTTCCTGGAGGTTTCAATGAAGCCAAGCTGATCACTTTCAGCATGCTGGTCTTCTGCAGTGTCTGGGTCTCCTTCCTCCCTACCTACCTGAGTACTAAGGGAAAATACATGGTGGCCGTGCAGGTCTTCTCCATCTTGGCCTCTGGTGCTGGACTATTGAGCTGCATTTTTTTCCCCAAGTGCTACATTATCATCCTGAGACCAGATCTAAACACTAAGGAACATCTAATGGCAAAATCAGGGGAATGATTGTGAAATTGTTTCTTAGGCTGGTAATGTCTAATTATCCATTATTATTGGTTATATGTTCTTCCTTTGGATTTACTTGACAACTTATGTTTATTAAAACTGAAGGAAATAAATACGTGAAGTTTGTTAGTTAGATGAAAATTAAAGATTGTCAAATACATTAATAATAAACAAATTAAAAACAAACAAATGAATAAATATTATGTTTTTTAAACTATTGGTTTTCATCCTTTTCCTCAGCACAGATGTGAATATTTGGCTTAAGCAAGTCTTCAAGACAAGAGATATATGAGTCATTTCCTGGGCTTTATAGTGGTGTAAGCTTGGCAGGTATCTTCAAAGCTAATTAGTGAGGTCTGAATCTCATATCTTTCATGGTTCTTTATGAATTTGTATTTCCATTCCCCCAAGTTATGGGTTCTACTGGGGATAAGAGAGTAAGTGGCATAGCTCTCATCTTCCTCAGAGTACACAAGCCCCACAACCACGTCAAGGTAGTGCCTCACTGGGGGATGATGATGATGATGATGATGATTGTTTGTTGTTGTTGTTGTTGATCATCACACAGTCAGCCAGACGTTCAGACTGGATTTGGCATTTTGTCTACCTATCAAGTCCTTATCCAGGACCTGGGATAGGCAGATGTGGATGTTTGATGGTATTACAGATATCATCACAGGATTAGGTCGCCTTTTGCAATTGACTAATAGCGAATTTGTCAATGCCAATGGTGTTCAAGTGGTGCTCCTGTTTTTTGGGGATTGCACCCAAGGAGCCTATTACTATTGGTACTACCCTTGCTTGCTTTTGCCACAGTCTTTCTATTTCTATTTGTAGGTCTTTGTATTTTGTTATCTTCTCCAGTTCTTTCTCTTCTATTCTGCTATCTCCAGGCACTGCCACGTCCACTATCCAGACTTTTTTGTCTTTCGTATCGACAATTGTTAAGTCTGGGGTGTTATGTTGCAGGTGCTTGTCTGTTTGAATTCTGAAGTCCCAGAGCAGTTTAATTTTATCATTTTCTATGACTTTCTCTATTTTATGATCCCACCAGTTTTTGCTTACAGGCAAATGATTTTTTTTGCAGATCTTCCAATGCACCATTGTTGCTACTTTGTCATGCCACTGCTTGTAATCAGTCTGTGCAATCTTCTTGCAACAGCTTACCAAGTGGTCCACTGTTTCGTCGGCTTCTTTGCATAGGCGGCACTTACTGTCTGTTGCTGTCTTCTCAATTTTGACTTTGTATGCATTTGTCCTTAAGGCTTGGTCTTGTGCAGCCAGAATTAGTCCCTCAGTCTCTAATCACAGGATTAGGTCGCCTTTTGCAATTGACTAATAGCGAATTTGTCAATGCCAATGGTGTTCACGTGGTGCTCCAGTTGTTTTGGGATTGCACCCAAGGAGCCTATGACTATTGGTACTACCCTTGCTTGCTTTTGCCACAGTCTTTCTATTTCTATTTGTAGGTCTTTGTATTTTGTTATCTTCTTCAGGTCTTTCTCGTCTATTCTGCTATCTCCAGGCACTATTATTATTATTATTATTATTATTATTATTATTATTATTATTATTATTATTATTATTATTTACTGACATAATGTGAGCAACAACAATAGATATTAATTTGTATAACTATTCCATCTAGATCATTTATAGTTTTGGATAGTCTACATTTCCAAACATTTTAGATGAGAAGAGGAGAAATTAGAAACTTCAATATTTATTTATTTGTTTGTTTGTTTATTTGCAATATTTATTTACAATATTTATTTATTTATTAAATGTTTATGCTACCCATCTCCCTTATAAAGCAACTCTGGGTGGGTTACAGATTATAAAAAAGACAAATAGAAAAACAATTAAAATCCAAATTAAAATTTTAGAACTACTTATAGAAAAAAACTAAGAGTAGAAGCCAGACTGCATAGGGATGATGCCTTCTTACCCTATCAACCACCTCCAATGGTGAATGTCCCTCTTAGGGTTCCAAGTCAACCAGCAAGTCAAGATTTTAATATCTTTTCAGAAGGCCCAAAGAATCAGAGAAGTTCTCACCTCCAGAGGTAGAGTGTACCATAGGGATAGGGCCACAGTGAAAAAGCTGCTTCTCTATCACACACACACACACACACATACACACACACACACACACACACACACACACACACACACACACACCAGAATTTCTTAGCAGACAGGATCTGTAGTTGGCCTCTTCTGCTAGTGTGAGGATAGTCCCATTGGGGTGGGATGGCTCCTCAAATACAAATTTAATACTACAAATTTCCAGCTCAGGATCCTACCCATGCAGTAACCAATCAAGGATTTTATTTGTGAAGAAACTCTGTCTTACAGTAACAAGAATATTGTCAAATCCTGAATTTCCTGTCTCATATATATTACAGTAATGGTGTCCATACATTAGAAGGATGCAAAGATACATATTTTTTTGTCAAGAAATGGAATAATGTGGAAAAATTCTGCCTAGAATAGCCCCACAGCAAGGTAGGCAATAACTACATTTTAGAAAATAAAATAAACATTTCCTTATGTAACGGGAATAAGGCAGGGATCCCCAACCCCAGTCCATGGATTGGTCCACACAAACAAGCAGTACTGGGCTGTGGTATGCCAGCAAGGTTGAGGATCTCACACCATGAGCTATTGCATTAGCAGATGAGAAGATGATCAGTAACCAAATACATTGGGCCGTGGTAGGCAAATATAGTGAGATAGAACTAGATTAGTTAGAACAAAGAACATAGAATAATAGAGCACATTGGAGTTCTTCTAGTCCAACCCCTGCATGAGCAGGAGACCCCATACCACAGATATAATGGTTATCCTGTCTCTTTTTGAAATCTTCCAGTGAAACACCCACATGGCAAGCCGTTCCATTGGTTGATTGCACTCACCATAAGGAAATTTCTCTTAGTTCTAGGTTGCTTCTGTCCTTGGCTAAATCCATTATTTCTTGTCTTCCCTTTGGAAAATAACTTGACACCCTCAAATATTGGAACACTGTTGTCCTTCTTTTCATTAGACTAGATACCCATCCTGTAACCGACTTCATATATTTTAAGCCTCCAGCCCCCTAATCATTCTTGTTGCTCTTCTCTGCACTCTTTCCAGAGTTTCAACATTTTTGTATATATTGTGGTAATCACTAGAACAATTCTAGTTTTACCACAACTTTACAAAGAAGTAAACTTGCAAAGTTCTTAATATATTTAAGGCCGACCCCTGGACACACTGTATATTTTTTAGTTCTTTATTCTTATCAGCTGATCTCTATTATTCAGTTCTGGTTTTACCAATATAATATAGCTTTTGGGAAGAAACATACAAATTAGTAATGCAGCACTGGACACCAAAATGGAGAAGATTTCCACAGCCAGTATGTATTTTCCCTTTGCACTCAAGTATGCAGGAACAAAAGTTAGCCAAACAGAGCAAAACATCAGCATACTGAAGGTGATAAACTTGGCTTCATTAAATGTATCTGGCAAATTTCTGGCAAAGAAAGCCACAGTGAAGCTCAGAAGTGCCAAGAAACCCATAAAGCTGAGGACACAGTAAAACATGACTATTGAGCCTTCATTACATTCCAGTAGAATTTCTTCGGCTAAAGAATGCATATCAAAATCAGGGAATGGGGGAGTAATTATCAACCATATGGTACAAATAACAATTTGGACAAAGGAGCATAAAAAAACAATAGAAGTAGCCAGTGGCTTTCTCATATACTTCCTCATTTGGGAATCAGGCTTTGTGGCCTTAAAAGCTAGAACCACAATGATGGTTTTGGCCAAGACACAAGATACAGCAAATGTAAAGATGATACCAAAGGCACTTTGTCGAAAAAGACAGGTCAACTTTCTGGGCTGGCCAATGAATAGTAAAGCACAAAGGAATGAGAGCAGAAGAGAAATAAGGAGAGCATAAGTGAGATTCCTGTTATTGGCTTTGACAATGGGAGTACCCTGATGTCTAATAAATATCAACAGCATCAATACAGTAATTAAAAAAAGTGAGAGGGCAAGAATAGTCAAACCAAATCCTAAAGGTTCTCTATAAGACAGATAAGTGATATTTTTCAGAAGACATCCATCTTTAGCATCATTTGGAAATTGTCCTTCTGGACAACGAACACAGTCAACCATGTCTGGAAGAGAAAATATATATGAACAATTTAATTCATTTCAAATATTTTTTCTGTAATGACAAAACTATGAAGGAGATAAATTGGATTAAAATTTTAAATCTTATCAGTCAACTTTAGTAGAAACAAAACAAACCTTAATTATCACTTATAAAAATGGTGAATAAATTTATTATGAATGTTAAACCTTCTCCAACAGTTCAAGTTGGAATTATCTATAGACTGTGCATGTCTTTCCCACCTTGTGAAGGACCAACAGTTCAAGTTGGGATTATCTAAAGACTGTGCATGTCTTTCCACCTTGTGAAGGACCAAATACAGGATCCTTCACTATTAATTGAATGAAGCCAGGCTTAACAAGTTCTTGATTCCCTTGTTACAAATAGTTACTTCCATCCACTATGGTCCAGTAAGCTGTCTTTAACTCTTGTTTAATTCTTTATTGCTCTGGCAATTGATTATTGGAAAAGACCTCAGTCCCTTTCGTCTCACAGAATAAAGAGAGTAGCGTAATATGTACACTGGGTGGGCCAAATGGTTTGGAGGAAATGGTGGTCTTGCAGTTTCAGGCCTTCAAAAAAAAAGGCCAAGATAAATATTCCAAACATAATGTTTAAGGATTAAATACTTATTGTTTTGTTCTCCTTCTCCATGTGTTTGCTCCTTCACAAATTGGATAGAATCTTTAACCCATACTACAAAACCCAAACTGAACTGTTTAATATGATGCTAATGAATTACATACATCATTTTAAATGCAAAGGAACTGCATGTGCTAAATATCAAAGCATTTGAAAATTCTAGGTTCATTTTTTCTCACCTTTCTGGGATGAAATCTTTCCTTCTGGACATGGAAGGCAATCATAACAGCAAAAGGGCTTCCCCTCCTTCTTCATTTTATAAAATCCTTGATGGCAGTTATCGTTACATACTGAAATAGGTTGTGTCTTAATGTAAAAAAATCAAGTAGTTGTATCAATAAATATGTATCAAACATATAAAAAGCAAAACTAAATCAAATAAATAGCAATATTCATTTACTGCACTGTATGATTATTGTTTCGCCCAATTCTCATGCTCGTCATAAGGGATGGTTCTAGTGAGTTAGGCTGTCACTTAACTTCTTTAATAATTGATATTTATCTCAAGATTGCCTTAAACCTTCATTTGGATAAATGTCACTTAAGAAACCTGAGAAAATGTGAAATTAAATACTTTTATGTTCCCCAAATTGAATGTTAAGAGACTACCCTTTCTCTTTTCGTGCGTAGAAGACAGCATGCTGACACATGTGTGAAGTGTTGCCTTAGAAGCGTTAGGAAAGATTATGCTGCATATTATCTCTTTTTAGCCCATTAAGGTGAGGAGGCAAAACTGTTTGGGAGACTTCCATTGCTCCTCTGCAATCCAGCTTCTAGGACCAATGCCAATGATTTCCTTGACCACACATGGCTACGACATCTGTGTTAGACATGCATGGTAGTCCAGACAGGAAGCTTAGATGAACTAAGTCTACTTTATTGTAAGATTATGCTAACAAAATTTTGCAAGTCTGAAAGTACATGTCTCCCTTTACTCATCAAAAAACAAGGGACAATCCCTTCTGAGATTTTTGCCATACCCCTTTGCTTCTGTGGGCTAAACTACCTCTTATCTGATTGGTCCCTTGTCTTGGCTCTTCCCAAGGTCATTCCCAGATACTATTACATTTGGAAATACCTCAGGAAATAGGTGGATCCTTACATGATTGAACTTCTTGGGCCATATAATGCTATTGTTGTTAATGGAGAATATACTCTTTGAAGAAGCATATGGGTCAATCTTTCCAACTTTTGCTTTCAAGAAAGACTGATTTGGGAATGTTATCCAGTTGATAATATCAAATCCAGCTTTTCTTTCTCCACTTTGATCAAAGGAAATTTTCTCTCCAGCACTGTTGTTGAATGATACTTTTCGTAGAATGTGATGAAGCTAAGATCAAATTTGGGGAAAAGTTTTAAAACACCAGGCAGGGATCAACAAGGAGATAATATTCTATTACTGAATATTTTAATGTCATAATTTTTAAAAATCAATATAGAATTGCTAATATATCTTGTGAGACAGAGGAAATCGGGAACCAAGATCATTCAAATGAGTACAGGTTTATTCCATGCTATCTTTTTGCAGGTATCTGAACTACTAATGGTCAAAGCAAAATAGTGGCAGATAAGAGGACAGTGGAACCTTCAGAAATCATGGGTGCTCCATCACTGGACGTTCTTAAGAAGAGACTAGACAGTCACTTATCTGACATGGTACAGGTCCTTCTGCTTGAGCAGGGGGCTGGACTAGAAGACCTCCAAGATCCCTTCCAGCTCTATCCTAAGAGTCAGTGGAACTCAAGGAGGGCTAGACTTAGATCTTTTAAGGGCATGAAGGGACTCCAAATTGATGATGTCCTTGACCCCCTCCATTGGGCTCAGCCTAGTCAACTCCTACAATATCCTATTAAACTAGAGCAGTGGTTCTCAAATTCAGCAACTTAAATGTGTGAACTCCAACTAACTGAAGAAGTCTGTAACTTAAAGTCTATGCATCTTAAAGTTCATGTGGTTGAAAAATACTGGACTAGAAGTACAGAACTGACAAACGTAGTGTTTTCTTCCAGTGGGGGAAAAATGAATTGCAGAGAAATGAATTGCAACATTGTGGAAATTAGTACACATAAAACAAACATTTATTTCTAATCCAGCATTTAATTTTTTCTGGGAACATCCATGAGAGTATCTCTTGAGATCAAAGTGATCTTTAGGATCAAATCAGCTCTGATCTCTGTCTCATTATTTTTTAGTGAGTGACTAAATATCAGAGACTGAAATTGGGATTCTCAGATTGATACAAAGTTTGGAGTAGAATGGAGTTGCCCATCCAAAGTCAACAGAGGGAACTATATTGTTCTCAATCCTGTCTGATAGTAGTAATAGTAGTAGTAGCAGTAGTAGTAGTAGTAATAGTAGTAGTAGTAGTAAAGTTGGAAGGGACCTTGGAGGTCATCTAGTCCAACCCCCTGCTCAGGCACGAAACCCTACGCCGTTTCGGACAAATGGCTGTCCAGTCTCTTCTTAAAAACTTCCAGTGTTGGACCATTTACTGCTTCTGGAGGCAGGCTGTTCCACTGATTAATTGTTCTCACTGTCAGGAAGTTTCTCCTTAGTTCTAGGTTGCTTCTCTCCTTGATTAGTTTCCACCCGTTGCTTCTTGTCCTGCCTTCAGGTGCTTTGGAAACTAGCTTGATTCCCTCTTCTTTATGGCAGCCCCTGAGATATTGGAATACTGCTATCATGTCCCCCCTTGTCCTTCTCTTCTTTAAACTAGACATACCCAATTCTAGCAACCGTTCCTTATGTTTAATAGTGCCCAGTGTTCAAGTCTGTCCAGATCCTCCTGTATCCTAAGCCTGTCTTCTGGAGTGTTAGCTATTCCTGCCAGCTTGGTGTCATCTGCAAATTTGATGAGTTCCCCATCTATCCCTTCGTCCAAATCATTGATGAAGATGTTGAAGAGCACTGGCCCAGAACAGAGCCCTGGGGCACCCCACTACACACTTCCCTCCATGTAGATGCAAGTCCACTGAGGACCACTCACTGAGCACGGCCGGTCAGCCAGCTACGGATCCATCTGGTAGTGATGCTGTCTAACCTGCATTTTTCTATCTTATCAAGTACTAGGTTGTGATCTACTTTGCCAAATACCTTACTGAAGTCCAAGTAAATTATATCCACAGCATTCCTCTGATCCACTAATTTGGTCAAAAATGCAATAAGATTTGTCTGGCATGATCTGTTTTTGCAAACCCATGTTGGCTTTTAATAATAACTGTGTTTGCCTCTAGGTGTTTGCTGATTCATTGTTTAATTATCTTTTCCAGAATCTTCCCAGGTATTGAGGTCAGGTTGATAGGTCTGTAGTTTCCTGGATCTAATTTTTTCCCTTTTTTGAAGATGGGAACTACATCAGCTCTTTTCCAATCCTCTGGTAGTTTCCCAGTGCTCCAGGATCTTTGAAAAATATAGTTCAGTGGTTCTGAGATCACATCTGCCAGTTCCTTCAGAACCTTGGGGTGTAATCCATCTGGCCCTGGTGATTTGAACTCATCTAGGGTGGACAGGTGCTCACTTACTTACTTTCTTGATTATCTTAACTTGTGTTTCTAATCTGTTATTTTATGTACTGTTTCTGATAGGTTGGACTGTCCCTTTGTGTAAAGACAGATGTGAAAAATGAGTTAAATAGTTCTGCTTTCTCCCTGCTTTCTCACCTTCTTGCCCCTTTTTCGCCATTAATGGACCAATCATTTCATTAACTTTTTTTCATGTTTTTTACCTATTGAAAGAAGCTTTTTTTGTTATTTTTGACTTTGGTCACAAGTCTTAGTTCATTTTGAGCCTTAGCTTTCCTCACTTCATCTTTGCAGGCACGGGCTATTTGCTGATATTCTGCCTTAGTTAAGTGCCCCTCTTTCCATTTTTTATACTTGTTCTTTTTATCTTTCAGTTTATCAGAGATTTCTTTATGCAGCCATGCTGGTTTATTTTGAGAGCTGTTATTTTTCTTCTTGGTTGGTATTGTGCTAGACTGGGCTTTTATTATCTCACTTTTCAAAATTTTGCAAGCTTCTTGAGTTGTTTTCCCCTTGAGGATTCTCATCCATGGAATCCTTCCCAAGCCCTCTATAAGTTTATTGAAATTAGTTCTCTTAAAGTCCAAGACTCTAGTTTGACTGTGTTCTATTGCTTGTGCTTCCAGAATGTTGAATTCCAATATTGCATGATCACTTCCCCCCAAGGTTCCTGTAGCTTCAACACCTTCCATCATTTCATCTCTGTTACTGAGGATTAGATCCAATATGGAGGCTCAGTAGATTAGAAAGGCTGAACCGGACACATAATTTCTACCTGAAGAGTGCCGATTACAGACCCTAGATAAATAATCTGTCCTTGTAGACTTGTGATTTGTTTACAGATAGGACAGTTTCCCAGTTTGAAAAGAGTACTGTGAAAGACAGCTGCAAAATAAGGCAACTGAACTAAGCCAGACATTCTGAGATGAAAGGAATCTCAGACACACTTGCCCTGAATGTACCACTGCTGTTTTTGATTTTTAGTTAATTAGGTTTAGTTAAACCTCTGGGCAGTTTAAATGCAATGGAGGTCCAATCAGCAGAGGCTCAGCTACTTTCCTCTCCACCCTCCTCCTTCTTAACTCACAGATTGTAGCTCTTCCCAGCAATCTCTGGGCAGTTTAAATTCAATGGAGGTCCAATCAGCAGGGACTCAGCTACTTTCCTCCTCCACCCTCCTCCTTCTTAACTCACAGATTGTAGCCTATAAGTTATACCTTTGCATATAAAGCTACGATAAGCTATTTTCCAGTTGTGATATAAAATAGACTAGAAAGAACAGAATAACAGAGTTGGAAGGGATCTTGGAGATCTACTAGTCCAACCGCCTGCTCAAGCAAGAGACTCTATATCATTTCAGACAAATGACAGTCCAGACTCTTCTAAAATGCCTCCAGTAATGGAGCACCCATAACTTTTAAAGACAAGTCTGCTCACAAGTTGTTCCATGGGTTGTTCCACTGGTTAATTGTTCTCACTGCTAGGAAATTTCTACTTTAGATCTAGGTTGCTTCTCTCTGTGATTAGTTTCCATCCATTGCTTCTTGTCTTGCTTCTGGTGCTTTGAAAAATAGTTTATCCACTCCTCTTCATGGCAGCCCATCAAATATAGGAACACTGCTGTCATCCTGTATTTACATTTAAGGGCATATACTGTACCTGCCAAGAGTATTGATTGAGAAGTTTCTTTCTCTGCCCCTTTACCATTATTTTTTCCTTGAATTTCAAGAAATGTATGTGGTGCAGAGCATGTGCTATAGCATAGACGGCATTGTACATGCTATAGCTATGAGCAGACATCTTCACTTCAAAAAGAGAACCAGGAAGAGACTCCAGTTTTTCAAACCCAGTGCAGATTTTCTCAGACGTGTTTTCTGAAGCGAGGCTTGAGAAAAAACATTCAAACACACTTTCCCAGAAGCTCTGGATAAAACCGTCTTCTTTATCTGAGATAGGATTTCTGGTCTGAAGGAACTCTCGAAATCCCAACACTTTCTTTGACTGGACTGCCAAGGACATCGCACCAAGAAGGAAGTCTATGCTCCAGCTGCCCTGGAAAGCAAAGGAAGTGAAATCCATTTGAGCCATCATCATCCAGACTTTATCACCTGGCTTTGAAGATATATCCAAATATACTGAACTTGCTATCATGAATCTCAAAATTGGCATTGTCTGAATTTCTCCATGTATGAGCAAAACATTGGAACTGTTTCTCATAATGGTCTTGTAAGTTGCAAGTCCTTCTTCTATAAGTTTCTGCATTTCCCCCGTAAATCCTTGTTTGGGGAGCCTTTGTATGAAGTCAAAACAAATGCCCTTCTCAGAGAAAAAGGGAAGGACATTCTGCACAAACCTTTCCCCGTTGTCATCATCAAGGTAAAGCACCCCAATCCATGTCCATCTGAAATGCAGAAGTAAGTGCAGGATCCCATTATATTGATGAGTGCCTCTTGGGAACATCTGTTGCACAAAGCCAGCTTGGCTTCTGTAATGCAGTACTGGAGCAGATCCATATGTAACCTTTTTTAAAAAAATAAAGAACAAAAATATTTTTGAAAAATTATGTCATAATATCTATGGGTGAATATATTTGGTCACCACAATATTTTTTAAAAAAGATATTAAGACTCTAGAAAGAGTACAGAGAAGAGCAACAAAGATGATTAGGGGCCGTAGGCTAAAATATACAAAGAATGGTTGCTGGAATTGGGTAGGTCTAGTTTAATGAAAAGAAGGACGAGGGGGAACATGATATCAGTCTTCCAATATCTCAGGGGCTGCCCCAAAAAAGAGGGATTCAACCTATTCTCCAAAGCATCTCAAGGCAGGACAAAAAGCAATGGATGGAAACTAATCACAGAGAGAACCAATCTAGAACAAAGGAGAAATTTCCTGACAATTAGAACAATTCATCAGTGGAACATCTTGCCTCCAGAAGTTGTGTGTGCTCCAACACTGGAGGTTTTTAAGAAGAGATTAAGCAACCATTTGTCTGAAATGGTATAGGGTTTCCTGCTTGAGCAGGGGGTTGGGTTAGAAAACCTCCCTTCCAACTCTGATATTCTGTTAATATATCTGTAATAATATAGCTGCCATGATCCTATGTTTTCATGTGATCCTGTTTTCTATGAGACATCAATAGAAAACAATAGAAGATAGCAACAAGAAAAAACAGTTTGCCCAAAATACTTCTGTATATGTAAACACGTTAGTGCAAGTTTTTGATCACAGAAAGCATTGCTAGTTATTTTTAGATTCTAGCAACTAAGTCTTCTAAATCAAATTATGAAAAGTCAAGGATAAAATCTATTACTCTCAATTTTGGCAAATTGGAAGGTGTGCCCTTCTTCTGCAAAGAAACGGGGGACATGAGACAAATTTTGATCACATGAAAAAATATTTTAGTCTCTATAAGCAGAGGAATTCTGACATTCAATTATGAAGGATGAAAGTGAACATATGAGTCTCAACTCTAAAAAAGCCACATAGTTTTCCCCTTATTGTAATAAAGCCAATAAGGGAAGCGTGAGAAATATAGATGTCCTTTACCTGTGGAATCTTGTAGAAACCAAGGATGGTGGCCATATGGAGGCAGACATTTGAGTTAGGTCCCCCAATGACGGCAACTGCATTGTTTCTCCTGTCACACTTGTAGTTTGGAATGAACCTCTTCTGGGTGGAGAGCAGTTCCATTGAGGCAAGATAAGTCCAGCTTGCACTGAAATGGCTGTTATAGATCTGGAAGCCCAGAGTGATGTTTGGCAAAATATGTGGGTCTTCATTGATTTTTTTCACAGCAAATACCAGTGCCAGGATATGCTGGTAATGCTGAGTCAACACCCTACAAAGAAGTACATAAGACATAACCACACATTTCAAAATTGCTAAATGTAGCAAAATACGTATTAAATATATATATCAAACAAATGATGCTATATCTGAGATAAATTATGTAGCTGTTATGGCGGGAAGGGTAACTTGGGAGAAAACAATGCACTCTGGTAAGGTATCCCTTTTTGAAATTTGTATGTGAATTTAATTTGGAACTTCTACTCAGCACGCACACAATAATTCTGTTACATGTTTTGGGAAATCTGCCTGCATTCAGTAAAGGCAAACCATTCATACAGTTGTGTTAAGATTATAAATGACCCTCCTTCATTCCTTCACAGGGCTGCGTAGAGAGTTCTGCATGATTCATGATTTTAAAACCCAGTGTTCTTGTTCATTCCCTTGTAGAATATCTTAACCTGAGCTCCAGAGCATTGTTAAAATTAGATTCATGTGGTCTATTCTGTTCAAAAAGGAGGACAATATACTAGGACAGCAACCGGAAGAAAGCTTAGCATAGCATCTTCATGGCCAGCAGGTATATGATGGCACATACTTTCAGGGACTCAGAACATTTGATTCAGTTTGCAGGAAGAATTTATAGTTGTGTTATCACATGGATATAACAGCCACCCACTTACCCACCCACACATAGACATGCAGACACACAAACACACGAATGGGCTAAGAAGAAGGAGAAGCAGAAAGAAGAAAAAGATCCTTTTAAAAAGTCAAGGATTGGGAATAATTAACAGCTGTTTATAACCCAAAACACAAACAAGTTCCCAGAATTGTTCATTCAAGTTCAGAATTCTGCCCAAAACTGAAAATATAGTTTATCAGTTTTGAAAAGTTGGTCATTTTCCCTAATGTGGGGAAAAATCTATTGCAACCGCTATACATTCTAACTCAACAGATGTAATTTTGGGAGTCAAAATAAATGATTACAAAAGAATCTTGCTGTTAAAAAGTAAATTGGTTAACATATATCTTCATAAGGGCTGCAGCTCTTGTCTTCAAATCTACCCTGAAATAAATATAATCAGAAAACATGTCCTGCTTTTGTTGGAGAACCAAAACCTTATTAGCACACAACAGTCTTTAAGATGTTACAAAATACAACTTGAGCTGACCAGCTTCAGAAACAACAGGGAAGGACACAAACATTATTAAGAACAGAATGTATGGCTTCTATTAATAAAGAAACATGCTATCATTATGCTTTTCTGCTAAAACTAGAATGAGGTCATATTAAAAATGGTATGAATCGGAATAAAAGTTCATCTATAAAGCAACTTGCTCAGACAGAGAGTTAGGAGAGATACACATTGCTATTCAAATATATCCCAGGTTCTTACGGAATATCATCAAAGTACTCCGGAGATGGTATTTTCTCATACGATAATGCACGTGAAAGCACGTTGCTCTGAGAAGTTATGCTGGCAATGTTAAATTCTCCAGAATGGTAATATTTGTGAAGAATTGGAAGAAGCACCCGAGTTGCACGTTTATCAACAGGACATTTGCTAGCTGTGTAAGGTAACAAAACTAATGCCAACATTATTATCACCACCATCTTGTTCACTGATTTAGAAAAAATGATAATGGAGAAGATCTTAGTGCCACATCTTGATTTAACTGATTACTTTTGCAAAAAGCAGTCCTGAAAAAGAAAAAAAAAAGCTCTGATCATACAGATCAATTGTTGGTATGGAAAAATCTATTAAACATGATATGTAGTTTTCCTAAAAGCTGTCAGTTTAATTATGGTTATTTTAATAATAATTATTTACTCAAAGCTGCTGTTGCTTTGCAGTCTTAGGTCCAGAGTAAGTCAGTTAACTTTTTTGTGGCTGTTTAAACCCATGGATAAGTTGTGATCTATATCTTCTATCAAGTTAAATAAAAATTAAATTTAACACTTTAACTCATACTACTCTAGGAAGTGTTATATATGACTTCATTCATTTTATTTGTTTAACCTTTGTGATTGTAGCCACAAATATTCTCCGGGGACACATAACAGTGAGCCTGAAAATTATCACTCACTTGGTTTTTTTACATAATGAAAGCCAAAACAGTTTGGTAAGATCTTCATTCTTGTTTCATTGTATTTGACATGGGAGGAAAACAGCAATTGAAATCAATCTAGGAATCATCCTATGAAGAGTTGAAAAAGGGGCACGTGAAAGTAACAATCAAAAATTGTGCGATTTATGCTGAACTAACTTAAGGCACAATTAACTTCTTTCAAGAACTAGCAAAATCCTCTATGGTGCTAGGATACATGTGAGGCAGTGCCAGCATTGAAAGATTTCCCACTGAAATATTCCTTGTATGAAAATATGCCGTACTGGCCAAACTAGAGAAAAAATATATATTTGTTTATTTCTTATAATTAATCTTCTACCCATCGCATCTAGACGTGACTATATGAAATATGAAAAGAATTGTGGAATATCCCAGGATTATAATAATGATGATGATGATAATAATAATAATAATAATAATTGGTCAGCACCAGGTGAAGATGAACTGCATGGGTTTTGGTTGAAACATCTAACTGTTATACACCCACTCATTGCCAATCAATTCAACAATATACTACAAGGAGGAGAAATTGAAAAGTGGCTAACAACTGGGAAAACCTACCTAATAATGAAAAATCCAGCAAAAGGGGCAACACCAGGTAACTACAGGCCAATTACCTTCTTACCAACAACTTTCAAATTACTAACTGGTGTAGTAGCTGATGCAGTGCAACAGCATCTAGTTGAAAACAATCTCTTTCCACCTGAGCAGAAAGGAAACCGCCCCAATAGCAGAGGAACAAAAGATCAACTCCTAATAGACAAAATGATCTTGGAAAACTGCAAGAGAAGGAAGACCAACCTGGATGTGGCATGGATTGACTACAAAAAGGCATTTGACTCTCTGCCACATGATTGGATAATCAAGTGCATAGAAATAACAGGAGTAAGTAGAAACATCAGAAAATTTGTGCAAAGATCGATGGCACAATGGAAGACACAGTTGCAGATCAATGGTGAAAAGCTGGGAGAGGTTAATATCAAGAGAGGAATATTTCAAGGAGATTCATTATCACCATTACTATTTGTTATTGCACTGTTTACTCTGTCAACAATACTGAATAACTCAGGACATGGCTATCAAACATCAAAAACATCTGCTAGACTATCCCACATCCTTTACATGGATGATCTGAAGCTGTATGGAAAAACATCATCTGAAATAGAATCGCTGCTCAACACTGTCCGTATATATAGCCAAGATATTGTAATGGAGTTTGGCTTGGACAAATGTGCCACACTTACTATCAAACAAGGAAAAATAGTGACAACTGAAGGAATCAAGATGCCCCACGAAAATAACATTAAGAGTCTGGATGAGGAAGATTACTACAAATACTTGGGTATCCTTCAAGCTGACAACATCAAGCACACTGAAGTCAAGAAAAAGATTAGAGGTGAATACATCAAGAGAGTGAAGACGATCTTAAAATCCAAACTCAATGGAGGAAATACCATAAAGGCAATCAACACCTGGGCAATCCCAGTCATTAGATACACAGCTGGAATAGTGGACTGGACTCAAGCAGAACTAAAAGCAATGGATAGGCAGACCAGAAAAATAATGACAATGAATCATGCCCTTCATCCACGAAGTGACATTGATAGACTTTATATACCAAGGCAAATAGGTGGGCGTGGAATGCTACAAGTACATCAGATGGTTGAAGAAGAAAAAATGGCTTTGGAAGAATATCTGAAGAACAATGATGAAGATGCCCTGAAATTAGTATATCAGGAAGGATTACTAACTACTGGAGAGACCAAACTGGCCTACAAGAAAGACCAAATGAAGAACAGAATAGAGGCATGGGAAGACAAAGCACTACATGGCCAATACATGAAAAAAAATAGCTGGGAAAGCAGATAATAATAAAACCTGGCAATGGCTAAGAGCAGGAAAATTGAAGAAAGAGACCGAGGGACTAATTCTGGCTGCACAAGACCAAGCCTTAAGGACAAATGAATACAAAGTCAAAATTGAGAAGACAGCAACAGACAGTAAGTGCCGCCTATGCAAAGAAGCTAAAGAAACAGTGGACCACTTGGTAAGCTGTTGCAAGAAGATTGCACAGACTGACTACAAGCAGCGGCATGACAAAGTAGCAACAATGGTGCATTGGAAGATCTGCAAAAAATATCATTGCCTGTAAGCAAAAACTGGTGGGATCATAAAATAGAGAAAGTCATAGAAAATGGTAAAATTAAACTGCTCTGGGACTTCAGAATTCAAACAGACAAGCACCTGCAACATAACACCCCAGACTTAACAATTGTCGATAAGAAAGACAAAAAAGTCTGGATAGTGGACGTGCCAGTGCCTGGAGATAGCAGAATAGAAGAGAAAGAACTGGAGAAGATAACAAAATACAAAGACCTACAAATAGAAATAGAAAGACTGTGGCAAAAGCAAGCAAGGGTAGTACCAATAGTCATCGGCTCCTTGGGCGCAATCCCAAAACAACTGGAGCACCACTTGAACACCATTGGCATTGACAAATTCGCTATTAGTCAATTGCAAAGGCGGCCTTACTAGGAACTGCTTCCATCCTGCAACGATATCTGTAATACCATCAAACATCCACATCTGCCTATCCCAGGTCCTGGGTAAGGACTCGATAGGTAGACAAAATGCCAAATCCAGTCTGAACATCTGGCTGACTGTGCGATGATTGAGATAATAATAATAATAATAAAGTTGGAAGGGACCTTGGAGCTCATCTAGTCTAACCCCCTGCTCAGGCAGGAAACCCTATACCATTTCAGCCAAATGGCTGTCCACTCTCTTCTTAAAAACTTCCACTGTTGGCGCATTCACCACTTCTGGAGGCAGGTTGTTCCACTGATTAATTGTTCTAACAGTCAGGAAGTTTCTCCTTAGTTCTAAGTTGCTCCTGTCCTTGATCAGTTTCCATCTGTTGCTTCTTGTCCTGTCTTCAGGCGCTTTTGACTCCCTCTTCTTTGTGAAAGACCCTGAGATATTGGAACACTGCTATTATGTCCCCCCTCATCCTTCTCGTCGTTAAACTAGACATACACAATTTCAGCAACCGTTCCTTATATGTTTTAGCCTTCAGTCCCCTAATCATCTTTGTTGCTCTTCTCTGTACTCTTTCTAGAGTCTCAGCATCTTTTTTACATCGTGGTGACCAAAACTGGATGCAGTATTCCACGTGTGGCCTTATTAAGGCATTGTAAATTCGTATTAATACTTCACATGATCTTGATTTTATCCCTCTGTTAATGCAGCCTAGCATTGTGTTGGCTTTTTTGGCAGCTGCAGCACACTGCTGGCTCATATTTCAGTGATTGTCCACTAGGACTCCGAGATCCCTCTCATAGTTACTACTATTCAGCAAGGTACCACCTATACTATACCTGTACATTTGGTTTTTCTTGCCTAAATGTAGAGCCTTACTTTTTTCACCATTGAATTTCATTTTGTTAAATAATACCCAGTGTTCAAGTCTGTCCATGTCCTCCTGTATCTTAAGCCTATCTCCTGGAGTGTTGGCTATTCCTGCCAACTTGGTGTCATCTGAAAATTTGATGAGTTCCCCATCTATCTCCTCGTCCAAATCATTGATGAAGATGTGGAGGAGCACTGGGCCTAGGACAGAGCCCTGGGGCACCCCACTACACGCTTCCTTCCATGTAGATGCAGTTCCATTGAGGACCACATGATGAGTACGGCCGATTAGCCAGCTACGAATCCATCTGGTGGTGATGCTGTCTAACCCACATTTTTCTCTCTTATCAAGCAGTAGGTTGTGATCTACTTTATCAAATGCCTTACTAAAATCCAAGTAAATTATATCAACAGCATTCCTCTGATCCACTAATTTTGTCACTTGGTCAAAGAATGCAATAAGGTTTGTCTGGCATGATCTGTTTTGACAAAACCATGTTGGCTTTTAGTAATGACTTGGTTTGCCTCTAGGTGTTCGCTAATTCGTTGTTTGATTATCTTTTCCAGAATCTTCCCAGGTATCGAGGTCAGGCTGATAGGTCTGTAATTTCTTGGGTCCATTTTTTTCCTTTTTTGTAGATAGGAACTACAACAGCTCTTTTTCAGTCCTCTGGTATTTCCCCTGTGCTCCAGGATCTTTGAAAAATATAGTTCAGTGGTTCTGAGATCACATCTGCCAGTTCCTTGAGAACCTTGGGGTGTAATCCATCTGGTCCTGGCGATTTGAACTTGTCTAGGCTGGACAAGTGCTCACTAACCATTTTCTTGCCTATCTTAACTTATGTTTCTATACTGTTTTTTTTATGGCACTATTTTTGATAGGTTGGTCTGTTTTTTTCCCTTTGTGTAAAGACAGATGCAAAAAAACGAGTTAAATAGTTCTGCTTTCTCTCTATTGCTAGTCACCTTCTTGCCACTTTCACCTACTAATGGACCAATCGTTTCCTTCACTTTTTTCTTATTTTTTACATGTTGAAAGAAGTTTTTTTTGTTATTTTTGACTTTGGTCGCAAGCCT